TTTATTAAACTATATATTTGTGAATAAAAGAATAAATAACTAAAACATTATTTCATTCACAGAATATAGGAGAAATGTGTCAATTAGAACGACCTGATTGGCAACAAGTTATGACATATGTGACAAGTATTTATAAACATTTTGAAACATAATTTTCAATTCAATGTCTCCTGTCGAAATGGATCTTTTATATGTTAAGAATTCACTACTAAATTGTGAATACATCAAGAATAAGATCATCTAGTCAGATAAAAAATATTTTTATGGAGACAAAATTGTTTTCAAGAATACTTCAATTTTGAATTTTTAAGAATTCCTGGAATATAATACTGCCTATGTATAATCGTGAGAAAAATATGAATTATGATGAGATATAATGGAATTGCTTTTTATTATGAGACTGAATGTTTTTAATATACATGCATATATATATATATATATACATATATACATATACATATGTATACTGTTAAGAACCAGAAAAAAATATATAGAAACAAGAATTTAGAATGAAAAGAAATATAACCAGAAAGGAAATGTGTTTCTACAAAAGAAAAACAAATAAAGAAAAATGCAAGCTTTATCAAATCTTCTTGTGCCTAAATTATGTATTGTATACGTTTCAATGCTTGTTTGGCAAAATCATTATTATTCTATTATATGCAAACGGGTTATTTCTATTGATAGTATCTTGTATTCTTTCTTACTAATAAGTGTTAAGGTAAATATTTTCGTTCCTTTCATACTGTAAGTATTTTTATACTTGTATTATTTTTTCAGAAACATTTGTAAAGTTTTATGAACGAATGTACAGAACAAAGCGCTTTAATTTAAGAAGAAAAGATCTAATTTATTATATTAGTCATGTTTTTTAATATAAATATATATATATATTATATGGAAGCCGAGCAGCAAATATTAGAAAAAAGAAAAAAACAGATTTTAAGTTCTATTTTTTGAACATAATAAGGAAATTATTCATGAAGATAAAATTCTCTGTGATATAGCAAAATAGCCCCAAAACAGAGATAGAAAAATTATCATGTTATTGTTCTTATTATTACTATTATTACTATTATTATTATTATTATTATTATTATTATTATTATTATTATTATTATTATTATCATCGTCGTCATCATCATTTTTATTATTATCATTATTATTATTATGATCACATCATCATCATCATCATTGTTATATTGTAAATAATATGCTGTCTGACATAAAACAATAAACTTGCCTAATAAATATTTAATAATTTGAAATTATTAAGTCATCATAGTAATGGTAAATTAACAGATATATATACAAGTGTCAAATTAAAAAATAAAGTCATTTTAATAGATTTAAAAATATTTACAAGTTTATATATTGTATTTACAATCGTTCACATTAAAATTGATTTTTAATTCTACATTGCAAATGATATGATGGTTTTCTAATATAATATTATTTCTATTTTTTAATATTTAATCTATTGATTCTTTTATCATGTTTCGCTTACATCCATTTTGTCTTGATCTTTTTCTCCAGAATAGTACTCATTTGCTGGTTCAATTATTTTATCAGTATCTTGTATATTTTGTCTAGAATCTAGATCAGGTTCTGGTTGTCTTTCTTCTTCAGGAGGCAATGCATCGCATGGAACATCTTGCATTTGAACACTTGGAGAGTGTTGGATCATTTTCAAATTATCATATACATGTCTCGTAATAGCTTCTAAATATTGTTTACTATTTGCATTATCTTGTCTTGTTACAACATCAGGATGCAATGTAAAATCTGGTGCAAAATATTCTAAATATTCTGTGTATGGTAACTCATTACTAATTTGTTCATCAACGAGCAAAGAAGTTTCGTAAGTCCAACAACGCGCAACATTACGTAATGTATATCCTCCTCCTCCAACAGTAAGCAATGGTACATTCAAGTCTCTAACGAATTTTACACATTCTCCATGTCCTTTTGTACTTAAACTAAAGCAACCAAGACGATCATTTGCAAGTGAATCTGCACCACATTGTAAAACTATTGCTGTCGGTTGGAAAAATTCCATTACATGAGATATGACTGGTTTGAATACTTGGACATAAGATGTATCGTCTATACCCTCTTTCAAAGGTACATTAACAGAATAGTATCTCCCACTTTCTGCACCAATTTCATACATGTCTCCAGTACCAGGAAAGAAATAATTTCCATATTTATGAAAAGATACTGTCATTACTCTATCTGTAAGATAAAATGCTTCTTGCACTCCATCTCCATGATGGACATCTATATCTATATAAAGTACTCTAGCATGATATTTTAACAATTCCAAAATTGCTATGACAATATCGTTAATATAACAAAAACCGGAAGCTTCAAATTTTTTTGCGTGATGTAACCCTCCACTCCAATTAACAGCGATATCACAGCAATTATTGTTTAGTTTTGTAGCACCTTCTAAAGAAGCGCCTGTGTACATAGAACAAAAATCAAACAGTCCTTCAAAAACTGGACAATCATCACCTACATTAAAATGACTTAAATATTTGGTGTATCCTTGTAAATTTTGCGGAGTCACTCTTTGTAGAAATTCAACATATTCATCTGAATGAAAGCGACACATGTCATGAGTACTAGCACGATATGGGCGATAGATTTGCATTTTTTTATGCAGACCATAATTGAGTACCAAACTATGTATTACAGCGAGTCTATGGGGTTTCATAGGATGTCCAGGGCCATAATGAAAATTTCCAACGTCTGGATTGTAAAAGTATGATACTTTTTTGTTGTAACTCATTTTGAGGTTAGTTTACATGTATTTGTATAACTATATCTAAAAAAATATCTCTATATTTATGACACCATTAGATATATAATATTAAATAATGAAATAATTAAAATTTTTTACTAATATCACACTATAAAATATCACTTAATATTATTCATATATATTTTGAAATGTATGTAAATTAAAAAAAATATATATTAGAATTTCATAATCAATTTCCATCAAATTCCAAATAAACAATTTAAATTGTTTACAATAATAATAGTAAAATTATATTAATAATACATGTAATTTATAATGTAAATATCAATATAATATAATAAACATCAATATAACGAAACTACTTATTTTTAACTGTTGTTTTGACAATTTTTCAGTGCCATCTATGGACAAATCTATCATTAATATTTAAGAAATATATTTTTAATATTTTTTATATTTTTTTAAAAAATATATCTTAAAAATATATCTTAAAAAATATCTACATATTTGAATATTATTAAAGTTTATTAGAATTATTTATTTTTAATAATAAATATTTTATGAAACTGAGAAATCAATATCCTATATAGAAAAATTAAGGAATGTAATTATCAAAACTTATTTTCGAATTTGAAATTTTTTATAATTTATGTAATGCTTATTTTTTTAGAATTTCGTAAATTCATTTTAAAAATTCATTTATGTTTAAATAAATTCATTCACATTTTTTTTCATGATATTCTAAATTGAAAATTGAATTAAATTTCATAGACTACGGCCATTCTTGTTTTTCGTACGTTGGCGATTGACAGCGTCACTCTTAATGTATTCCAAGGGATGAAGCGAGTATCTCTTAATTTTGTATTTCTTATCAATAATGTCTTAATTAATATTAAAATATCTTAATTAATATTTGAAATATTTGTATTAGAAATCGTAAGTGGTTCGTTAAATAAGAATAATTGAAAAATATGCGACCGGATTCACGCAGCGTTTCATTTACATTTCACCGGGAAATTCTGAATATCAATAATTCACCGGAAATTACAAAAAAGATAAGACGACGTCTTCAAGATCGTTTCGAGAAAGAAAAGTCTGGAGATTCCTATAAAGGAAAGATGTCAAAGGAAAAACAAACAAGTGATCGTAGTTGGAACAATTTAACTCTGGGAAATATGTCAGCGGATTCTAGACGTGCTCTGCGAAATGGAGCTGAGAAGTTATCCAAAACCATATCTTCCGTACGCATAACTTTTGGAACTATTTCACAGGTCAGATAAATTACGAAAAAAATGACTAAGATAAAATTGATTATTTTATGACTTTTATGACTTTAAATTATGATTATAAATATTTTATTTCTTACATTTAGAAATTCAAAAGTTCTACACGAAGACGTCAAAGATTGGAGGAGCAACAATCTCCTAACAGTATTTGTAAAATGCAGACTCCTCAAACCCGTTCTCGTCAACTTCTTGGTCGAACACCAACAAAACTTTATAGTCCTTTTGGCATAGAATCTCCAAGACATGCATGGAATAAAGAGAATAATGAAACACCAGTACACAGTCCTGCAGAAACACGATATCTCCAGTGTAGACCTTTTCGTTTTTCGAGAGCCAAAGGATTTTCTGTATTAAGATAAAATCTTTTCATTCTTTTTTCTAACTATTATTGAAACAATCTCTTTATTTCTTAACAATGCATTCAGGATTACGTGCCTTGTGCAACTAATTGAATTATTTTATTCAATTTTGATCAATAGATAAATACAGAAACATAATACAGACAGAGAGAAAGGAGAAAGAGAGAAAACTCCATTTATAATTATTCTTTTGATATATTATCAATGATATCAAGCTGCTTTATATGTATATGCAGTGCATAATCTATTTATACTTTTTATACATATTTATATATAATTATTATTATTATAATATTGAATAAAAAAGCATAAGAAATTTTTTGGATTAAATCTTTTAAATCAAAATTAATATAAAAAAAAAACAAGATTTTCAATTAATTTAAAAGATAAAATTAGTAATAAGCGAAAAAAATACTTTCAAATGAAACCTAACCTCGCAAATGAATACCGTTCACTGTTAATATTGACCCAATTCGTCTATGAAATAGTATATTAATTTTTTCATTTATTTTAAAGAAAAAAATGCAATTAATAACGACAAGAAAAAATCATAGTCAAATATTTGCTATATTCATTTTTTATTTTTCGTTTGTTCATATTAAGAAACATTAGGTAGTAGTAACTTCAATTTCAATTCACTAGCGAACAAAGTCAAGGTGCAATGAATTTTCACAGAAATTTTTTTTCGTGCATCAAAAATTGCATGTACGAATCCAATTAAATCGTTCAATGAAATCTTGAAGTGGGAAACACGATAAATTTCATTGAGTTAGTGCGCACGTGCATGTTTATAGCATAGCCGTGAAAAAAAAAATCTTCGTAAAATGCGCCCTTGCATCCGAAAAGCATTGTGAATGCGACACGACCGACATGTGAAAATGAAAAATCGCTCACTTCGACAGAAGATACTCTAACACTTAGTGTTATGTTTCACACACGCTCGAAATGGCTACAAATGAACAAAACGAAGATACGCAAAATAATATAAATCCTCAAGTCAGGTAAATTTTTTATTTAAACCTAATTTCCCATTTAAAAATATTTTACAATAATAAAAAAATTAAAAAATATTTTGTAATAACCTATTACATTTTATCAATCGTGAAATTTATAACGAGGTTAGAAATCGTAGTTATCGTTGCTTAATGCACAAAATCTTTGTTTATGTATTTTAATACTTGTATTTTTAAAAGTTTGATTTCTATTACATTATTTTTTTTTTACTTTTGTTTATTGCATAATAAATTGAATTAAATATTAAATTTTTAGTTAAAAGAATAAACTCTTAAATTTATCATTGCAAACAGATTTAGAAATGCAATGTTTAATAGTACAATGCAATTTATTGGAAATTTAAGGAAAATTAAATTTTATATAAATCATCATGTATTTTCTGTAACAAAATTCCAGCATTTAATTCTTCTATAATTATTATTAGATACGTCATATATTTATTTTGAGCACTATTATTGGTTATATTTACTTCTTTCTTATCTAATAAGCGAACAGGATAACGAACTATAATTCACATAAATTTCAACGATTAAAGGAGTAATTTCGTTTTTTGAAACAAAGTAGAGTATAAAAAAATGACGGTCACATAATCCAAACAGGAACAACGTATATCATTTCCGGTTTGTAAAATTTTACTGCAATAATTTGTACAAACGTTTCGATATTACGTGAAACTCGAACTACGTAAAATCGCGCGTCGAATTTATCATGTTCGCAGTTCCTTACTGGGAAGTATTGTCAAGGTATGTTCAAAAAATTTTTTTTTAAAAATTTATACACATATATAACGAATTAAATTTTCTGTCATTAACATAAATAGAGTATACTTATCTTTAAAAATCGCGGAATAAATTTTTTTAAACAATTATTGTAATACTTATAACAATATAATCGCGTAGTATATATTCAATCTATTTAAAAATCATCAAAAGAATAGAATAATAAGAGAAATTGGCATAGGCCCTGAATTCGTGTAAACATGCGCCAGAAATTTAGGCGGGATGTCCCGCCCCATGCGCATCTCCATTATACAGGATGTTTCATTCGATAGAAGATCAACATATTACATACTATATGCTTTTAAAAGAATCATAACCTTTACGAAGAAATTTTATAATTATTTTTATTTTATGAATTAAACTAAAGTTATTATTGCTCTAATATTTTTTCCACGTTATTAATAAAATTAGATATATTTGAAATGTACAAATTAAGTGAAACTATCTGTATTATTCATTGGTGAGAGTGGTGTAGTGGGGTAGCGTGCCGCGAGAGGGTGTCGCGCAAGGCAGGTCAGGGCTGGGGCTCAGTACGTTTGCGTACGCTGTGTCGTATGTGTCGTGCGACGTTCCTCCGCGATTCTTCGCTTGCTAACTTCTCCATTCTCTGTGTATCGGATCCTTCGGTGCGAAAGCAACGCATCACATCAAATACCATCAAGTGTGATAACAAAGTGTGCATTATTCGATGGTGATGGTGCCACGAGCTTATATAATTATTGGCGTGTATTAAGCAGAATTGCATATAACGTGTGATACAAGTGAGTGAGTGCATACTGCTCTTTTCGTCGATCTTTTCCCATTATATACAGTGTTTCTTTAACTACTTCTTTTCCACTTCGGTACGTATATTTTTATACCTTTGCTCTCAGTCAGAGTACAATTCTACAGTTGGCGAAAGTTTAGTTTATCTTTAAGTTTATTCTTCCTTCTCCTTCATCTGTTACGATGTCCCTTTTTCTCTCACTCCCTCCATATTCTGACAGCTTGGTCGATTCATGAATCTGCCGGGCCATTTCCCCGGGCTTCTTCGAAATAAGGCCAAACGATTATTTTCTGTCACTAAACCTTGAAAAGAAATTTTTTTTATTCCTTCTCTTTCTATAGTGGATTGAACTGTTTGATGATGTTTGATGACTTTTAAAATTTATCGACAATTGCTAATAAATGAAATGAAAATGAAATAGCGCGTTTCTCTTCAATCAAGTTTCTAATAAAAATTGAATATATTGCGTAAACAATAAACAAACTAGACACGAACGATCGAATACGCGGAAGTTCTCGTCAACGAAGCGTGCTCTTCTTCCCCCTTTTTTTTTACAATTCAATGAACCTGTCTACGAAAGTAGAAACACTAATATATTGAAATATATTGAATATTGCTTTAGATATAAAATAAAATAGATTTTTGTTCATTTATTATATTTTATTTGTTATACTTGTATATAAAAAAGGTTATGATATATTAGCATTTCATAGCTGAATGATTTGTTTCTATATTTATTGTAACTTGAAATAGTACAAAAAATTTATAAATAATGTAGATTTAAAGATATTTTTATATGCATAATTATTTGGTATTTATCTGTTAGCAAAGAAATTTCTTATTTGGTTTCACAATTGATATGCTTCATATGGTTTGATTTTAGTTCCTTTCATTCATGGCTATTCTTGCTGGTTCTGTTTTGTCCTTACTTGCCTTTGTTTGTTTGTTTCTGATACACAGGTCTGGCATCATATACATATATGTATATATGCAGATTTATTTTCTATTTATTTTGAACCGCTTAAAGAAAGTGAGAGCATTCAAAAGTGCAGGCAGAGCAACGATCATGGCATTGCACGGGGAAAACGTAGTAATGATTTTGTTTATATTTTTTGTATTTGCTGACCCCATCAACGATTATCCTGGGACATATCAGTTGGAGTACGCAGGAGCCAGAGTCGCACAACTCACAGTTGGTAGCATCAAATCAAGAACTGCAGAATCAAACTTCAAATCAGAAAGTAGATCAAGAATTTGCTAAAATGACAGATCAACGAGAACAACAACCTCAACCACAACAACAGCAACAGGCGCAACAGCAACAACAAACCAAAGGCAATGAAGAACCGAGAACAAATTTGATTATCAATTATCTTCCACAGAGTATGACAGAAAAAGATCTTTATAGTCTTTTTGTAACTATTGGGCCTGTGGAATCTTGTCGTGTAATGAAAGATTATAAGGTATGTTCTGTTTCATAAAATATATAAATTTAGCTTTTTATTTTTATGAATTATATTATTTTTATATTTTTAATTTTATTTTATAGACAGGGTATAGTTATGGTTTTGGATTTGTTAATTATGCAAAAGCTGAAGATGCAGCCACAGCTATAAGTACTTTAAATGGACTTCAAGTTCAGAACAAAAGGCTAAAAGTATCCTTTGCACGACCATCTGGTGAAGAGATTAAAGAAACTAATCTTTATGTAACAAATTTGCCGAGGTATGCTATAATTTAATATTTATATATATATAAATATAATATAATATAATATAATATTTATTTATTAATTAATAAGAACGAAATTGCAATATATAATAAAGTTATTAATTTCATTTTTTTAGAAATATAACTGAAAGTCAGATTGATGATATATTTAGTAAATATGGAAATATTGTGCAAAAAAATATTTTAAAAGACAAACTTACTGGATTACCAAGAGGTGTAGCATTTGTAAGGTATGTTTTTTTAGTTTCATTTCTTAAACTATATATTATTAAAATAAATTATGAATGTTAAACAACAATTTTATAAAAAATTTTTTCAAAAGAACAAACTATATTATTTAACTATATTGATAAAAAATATTGTTTATGAAATGTTTTTTTGAAATAAGCATTATTTTATAATGCAATTTTATATTGCAATTCTTGATATAATAATAATAATAATAATAATAATAATAATAATAATAATAATAATATATTTATATAATATATTTTAACTCTTTAATAAATTATAAAGTTATTGTAGATAATTATAGAGTTGTTTGTAATAATGTTCTTTCACATGTTTGCGCGATTAATTATATTTTTATTTTGCTATTATTTGGAAAATAAATAAATAAATAAATATATATACATATATATATATAAGTAACTGAGAGTTATAGTTGTTTGTGCCAAAAAAGAAATGCTTAGTTATTATGCAATCTATATATGTGTCTGTACTTATTTTCCGAAATCATTGCTGCCAAATTATTTTGATCACTTCTCTCTTATTTTATTTACATAATTTCGATTTACTTAACAGACCACTGACCCAGTTAATGCAATTGTGCATGCAAAGAGATTTATGGTTTATTGTAAGAAAATAGTCCAAAAAGTATGTCAACCATCTAGAAATAGAATCAAAACTAATTTGATAAATTTCTTAATTTTGGCAGGTTTTAAGGATTCGTTAATTTACGTTCTATATATTATGCTCTAGATTATTCCTAATTAATATTATAAACTGTAGATATCTGACAAGAATTATTTATATTTATTATCAAATAAATTTTTTATTTGATTTTTAAATTTCTATTATAATAACTAAATCTTTGTAGATTCGATAAACGGGAAGAAGCACAAGAAGCGATCGCACGACTACATGGAACGATACCAGAAGGTGGATCAGAGCCACTTAGCGTAAAAATCGCGGAGGAACACGGAAAACAAAAAGCGGCATACTACGCTGGATGGCAGGCTGGTTACAATCAGAGTAGAGGTAAGTAATTTTAATTTTGTCGATAGACAATTAGTCTTGCTCAAATTTCTTTCGTTCTCGACCTGACAGCAGAAATTATTTTTTTATAGAATTAATAAAGTGTGGATTAACTATGAAAGTAATAATTATTTAAAAATGAAACCTTAAAATTTTAATTCATAAATAATTGTGAAATAAATTGATTTTTACTGACAGGTGAGATTTGCATTTTGGCTTTCTATAAATCCTACCAAATAAATCATCGTTTCGTTATTGCCATATTGTTGGAACTGTAGAAGCACATGAGATTTGAGAGATAATTTTTTTTCAATAGAACGCATTTCTCTCTCTTTCTCTCTTTCTCTTTCTCTCTCAGCTCGTCACTTTTTCAAATTGTCGTATTAATTTTTTCCGTTTCTTTTCTTTCTTTTTATCGCGATGATACGCGTGCAATTGTGAAAACAGGGTAATGTCATTTTAACAAATTTTGTAACGTAGTTGCAAGGTGTAAGAAATTTCTGTATCTATTTAATACACGTTGTCCAAGATGCGAATGATCTTTTAATTAAATTAATTTGGAAAGAGCCTTCGCATCATCGACGACGTGTAAATGTGAGAACATGTCTAACATTTGAATTGTTTGCCAGATATGGCTGCACTTAAATCAAAGTACAGCGAAGATTGAAAATGCTGTTTGCGTTCTAATGCGTGCAACGAATAATGCAGCAAATTTTCTGCGAATATAGTGGAGACACGTTTCTTGTCGCGCCTGTTATGTTTTTCTGTGTTCTCTTTGTTTTTGTTATAAGTTTTTTCGACGTTGTGCGCATGAAATTGTTTCACGTGTAATTGAAAAATAATAATAATAATAATAATAATAAAAAAGGAAAATAATGCAGAAGATTCCTGGCAGTGGTGTTCAATGAAAGAAAAAAATCTCTTTGCAGATGGACATAAAAGAAAAAAAATAATGAAACAGACAAGAATGCAAATATGTAGTGTTGCTGTGATAGAAATGTTTCTGTGTGTGATAATTTTTAGTGCACAAAAGCAAGAAATGAAAAGAAAAAATAATGAAATGAAATGTTGTATCCTGCTAAAGTCAGTGACAACTTGTGTTACAAGAAAAAAGAGAAACATTCATTAAGTTGTATTCAGCACACAAGGCTGGTCTAGAAGTTTGATTTTTTCTTTTTTTTTGGACATTTTCTGGTCAACAATTGTAACTCTGTTTTGATTAATTGCCAATGCTATTGTTACCATATTGATTTTGCATTGTCATGTATTTTCAAATGTATTCAAATCACACTGTGAGCATCACCTCCATTCTATACATTTTTGTGTCAACAAATTATTGTATAATTACGTACGTCTTAAAGCTGTTTTGTACTTTTTTTTTGATAAGACATACAATTTCATATTAGATATATATATATATATATATATATATATATATATATNTGTTACTTATTTAAGATTTTGGAAATACATTTTCTATTTAAGAAGAAATTTGTTACTTCCTCTTATAATCCTTCAATAATGAACGTGCGTGCGTTGTTTTTTGTTTTTTCTTCTTTTTTTTCCTTCATAATCATAATTAAGGTTTAAGGTCTTTTAAAATATAAAATAATTAATGAGCGCCTGTAGTATTTAGTGTTCAAAGAAAATATGTATGTTTTAAGTAGAATTTTTTGTAACACGATGTTTTGAGACTTGCTTATACACTGCTCAAAATGTAAAATAATTCTTAAAATCAATTTTTTGTGAAAAAGATACAGTATTATTTGCATAAAAAATTTGGAGCAGCGTGTAAAATACGCAATTTATTTAATCCACAAATTGTTGTATGCCTGCGAATAATTTAGCGAGCGTCATTGCTAATCCATGATTAGTTCTGGATTTGCAGATTGCATTTGCAGAAATATGTGGCTTTAACAGAGAACTTGTTCAGTGCATGGCTGTGTCCTCTTTCAAGCGATTATCATATGCAATAGTGGACAAATGTATTTAGATAAATAAGTTTTTTTTTATGATTAACATTCCATCATTTAAAGTTTTGGATCTAATTTATTAATGATAATATATGAATAATAATGAATAATATACTATTAAATAAAGACAGAAAATTTTCAGATTTAATAGAATCATAGAATTTTTCTATTTGTTTCAGTAAATTATTTGTCTAATTACATTTGTTTCAAGTATTTCGTATAACTCTTTAACATAAATCATTTTCATTTCTATGCTCGCCAATCCACAAAGGAGAACGTCTGTATCCGACCAGGAATAAATACCAGCGTTATGCACATTACCTTTATTAAAAGAAGAACGCAATTTCTTGTTCGGTACTCATTGTTACCCTTACAGTTATGCTACCATGAATTCCTATTGTAATGAGATTGGCATGATTAAGTGCGCTTATACCAGCACAATTGTTACCACTTTTATTGTAATTCGAAAAAAGGAATTTATAAAAATAAGGAAAACAAATTTTGCTTTTTGATTAAATCTTTTAAGATTGCTTTGTTTTTTCTTAATGATCTTATCCTAGTTCAATTTCATTTTTTTGTTTAATATATATATTATAAATTGTACAGTTTCTTAGAATTGAACCTAATTTTTTCACAAAGCAAAACTGTTTGTAATTAAATAAAAAAATCACACAATTTGCTCAACAAATGTAAACGAGTACTTTGTAATTTATCAGAAAACCAATCTATGGTTCTAAAGTTCTTTTCTAAGAAAAAGAAACTTTAGATACAATTTTACTTTTAAAAATATTCCTTGAATATTTGTATAATAATACAATTTAACACTTTGACCTAAAATATAGGAAACATTCATTTAATCTTGTATTGTATTATTGGAAATAATAGTTTAAAAGATTAACTAAAATAAGCATTAGTTTCTAATATTTTTAGGGTCAATGTGCTGAATAAGAAAAAAGAGATATTTGTGGGTTTTAAATTGAATAATTAAGTTGTAATCACTTTTACAACTTTGAATAGTTAGATCACTCCTTGCAAACGTTGCACAATTTTTACAATTGTCTGTTATCTGATGGCCTGTTCATCGTGTTCACTAATATTGACTCTAGTGAACTATATAGATAGTGAAAATATGTATAGATATTCATCCTGTAAAACAATCGGGACAATTAGTTAAATAAATTATTGTCTTAAAAAATTGATGGATGAACATTGTAGATGAATTTAGTTGTCGTAAAGACAATTTGAATAATAGACGAGCGAATAGGCTTATTAAAAAACGTTATCGAGTCATATTTAATAAGTTGTTGCTAAAGTAACAATTTTGAACGATAAAAATTGTGATCGATTGGAAGCATGATGACAATTTTTTCATATATAAAGTTAATAAATCTTCGCTGTTACTTATTTTGTCGCTATATATATATATATATATATATATATATATACACATACATACATACATACATACATACACATATGTGTCTGCATAATTTCTGATACATATATATATATATATATATATATATCAGTTAAAAAAATGTGAATTTCGAAGTTAGTTGGAATATATAAGAAACATTTGTATCTCCTGTGACCCTGACAATCGTTCCTTTTTTAGTCGGTTTTTTGCGACCGTATTAAATCTTTACAAATGATTAGGACATGAACGCTTTTGATATAGTAATGATATAATAAAATAATAAATTCTGATAGAAAATATCTTGCTCGTATATTAATGATACGTTCAAGTGCATGATATGATTAAGAACAGGAGTGCATAATCTTTTTTGACTTAAATGACATTTTTATTGTATTTTATTTTATTTCATTTTATATTATTTTATTTTATTTTATTTGAAAGAAATGAATAATATGACGAATATGAATAATATGAAAATGATTATAATAGAATAAAATGAATATGATTAGGTTTTTCAGATTTTATTTAGTTGAGTAGGATTTGATTTCTCAAGAAGAATATTTTTTTTTTCGATTCTTCATATATTAATAATTATGTATTAATTTTTAATAATAAATTAAAAATAAGTAAATATAATAAAAACTTAAAGAAATTGTCATTTTTAAATATATCAGTCCTATTATTATTATTATTATTATTATTATTATTATTATATATTTAAACAATTAAAAATTAATGAAATTAATATATAATTGATAAAAAATGAGAGATTGTGCACTCTCGAATGGTGGGAAAAAGAAAGAAAAAATAAATTAAATCTCGTTAGGAATTTAATATTGCGAATGCGCTGGTATTTGAACCCCTTTCCACACAACTAATGTCTGTTGTAAAATTTCTATCACTGAAATTTCAATTGGAGAAATACAATAATTAGTGATCGTAATGATTTGGATAAAAAAGGAATGGTGAAAGAAACAGGAAACTAATTAGTACTTAAGTCAATCCAGTTAATGAGTAAGATTTTCAAATATTTCTTTAGAATATTCATATAAAATAAACTCATAATGTTCTTTCTAAAAAAAAAAAAGAAAAAAAAAAATATAGAAAGGGAGAGAAAAACACTTCAGATACAAAAGGATTTAAAATCAATAAAAATGAAAATGAGGTTACTTTACGCAGATAAAAATTCCCTAGAAAAACTGGTAATGAAATATAAAAAATAGAGAGAATTATTTCGTTAATATCGAAAATGAAAGCAATAAGAAAGTTTATCTTTATAAGAGAAAGAACAATTTGAGTTTTTCAGTGTACATAAATCAAAATTCTAATTTTTAACTTAACATGTTAAGTAGTAAATTATAATGTCTAATGGATCAAAGATTGTGCGAAATGGTTATAATCCCGAAATCCAATAGTGCTAATAATGGCTGTGATATGGAATAAGAAAAAAATTAATGAGAGAAATGAACGAAAAAAAGTGAAGTATCCAGGATATATAACGGATAATATGCTCTTTTTTTTCGCTTTTTTGCTGTTTTCTTCTTTCTTATCTTCTTCTTGCAACAATAAAATTTTGTTTAATTCTTATCTTAAAAGCTTGAAAAAGGTTATTTGAAATATTATATTCAAAATACTTACTTATAAATTATATAGGATTTAATACAAAATTTAAAAAAATTATAAAATTTTATTATTTATTTATGAAGATTTTTACAGTTGACATCAGAGCGATAAAATTGGGGAGACAGAGAATAAATTCTCGGTTGAAAATGCCTGCGACATTCCCAATAATATATTCATCGTATTTTTCTCTTTCTTCTTTAGAAATCAATATTTAAAAGAAAAAAAAAGTTTTCAAAAGACACATTCTATGATCGATATTTTACTGTAATAAATCGATCTCATTTTAGCGAGAAATCTGATTCTAGCATTTAAAATAAATAAATAATTGACAAGTTGCAGAGTGAACCGGAAATAACATTATCTATTCAATAAGAAGATGATTCATTATATTGAAACCAATCATATAATTACCGAATATAATTTTTTATTTATAAATATTATATTTATAATATTTATAAAATTTTTTTGAAGGAAAAAAAAATGCGGTTCGTAACATAACCTAATTAAGCGTTTCTTATTATTTCCTGTTTACTCTGTGTATTAATAAAGAAACACGTATACATACTATATAATAAAATATATTATATTGATATAGTAGAAAATTATGATTATGTACATGTTGTATGGATAAGCTAAATAACAATTGTACGAACATTACCATTTAAACGTGTTCAATGCGTGTAATACGGAATGTGTGAAGTTATATTGAGAAACTGGCCTAATAATACACATGACTTTTGTGCTGATGATTTCATTTATTCATGGTTCCAATATCATCATATCCAAAAAAAAGAGAAAATCATACGAAAATCAATAAGGGAACCATCGTCTTCATCAGGACAAAATAACATCAGGAACAAAATATATTTGTTCAAAACTTCTATCAAATACGTCCCTATATAAGTATCTCATACCTTTCTTATCCTTGTTGCTATAGGGATCTGAGTGATTCTGTAGACAGTCATTAAATTTGATTAAAATAATTAGAAATCAATAATCAACATCTGTCCACTTTATTCTATACTATACCATCACCTATTTTTACATTTTAGTATCCTTTGAATCGTTCCATTCTCTAACCTAAAAATTAAAAAAAAAAAATAATTTCAAGTAATTTTCAAAATATTAATTGCTATAATATTTTCAGGTGCTGGAGGTGGTCTAGGCGGTGGAGGAAGAGGCAGAGGTATTGGAGGTCCGCCAGGAATGGGCATAGGTATTAGTGGAGGTGGACCAGGAATGTTAGGAAGAGCAGGAGGTGGTTTCGGGCCGCGTGGCGGGCCACACGGCAGCTTTCTTGGCGGAAGTGGCGGTCCAGGCGCTATGAGGATGGAAAAAATTCATCCACATCGCTTTAATCCTATTGGTATGGGCGGCGGCTATGTGCAGTCGCACTTCTGGTGACCTAGTATCGTCGACGATCTGGTTAGCAAGACAGCACCGGCTACGTACCTTTCTTCGTTCAATCGGAGATCAGCAACGGCAATTGTTGTCGTTTGTAACTTTGCCGAATAAACATACATTTTCCTCGAGCGATCGTGAAGTCATGGAGATATGGGAACGCATCAGGATCGAGAAAGGTTGCCGTCATAAATAGTATAATGACAGACAAAGACAACAGGGTATAAGTCTAGCAACCTAGTCCTCAATTATGATTTCCTTTGTCTCCTACGACATTCAGATCGAGATGCTTGAGGACTGACTGATCAAGGATATGTAAATTATTATGCATAGTATTTAATAATATTTTTACGTGCCTGAACCAAAGCTCAGAATACCTAGTATTGTAGATACATGTGGCGATAGATATTCAGTTTTAAAATTTATTCGAATATTTCGAGATCTTAGATACGACTGAAAAAATAACTTGAAATTATAATCCATTCGAAGCCCTTTAAGTAGCATAAATAAATAATATAACTTTATTGTGAATTTTTTAAAGGTGAAGCTTATAATTGTTACATTTTTTTGTTTATTTTTTTGTCAATTTTTCTTTTTTCGAAGTTTTCAAAACTCATTGAAAGAATTAATTCCAAGATCTCGAAGCAGTTTATTAGATAAAATTTTGGATGATGATGGAAGAGTGTAAAGTTGGTCTTATTGCTATTTCTTTATTGCTTTTTATAGTTAAAGTTTCTTCTTCCTTCTCTAGCTTTAATATCTTCTCTAATGTTGCATTGTGCGTTTAAATTAGTGGCGTTTATTCTCGCCAATTAAATAATGCACGTTGAATATTATAAAATGTTAAGGTACAAAAAAAATGAAAAAAGGGGGGAAATAATATTTGGTTATCGAGTTGTTGTCTATTTTGGGCATAATCAGACTCGATGATGAAGTTATGTCGTGCTAAATTAGCTCTATTATTGCGTCCCTAAGATCGTTAATAGGCGAATTTTTATGAGATTTTATTTTTTTGACACTCAAAACGCATACGCGGTATAAATATTTTTCTTCTTCTATATTACATTTAAAAAAATCGTTAAGGCATACTGCAGGCTAAAATCTCAAGATATTATTTTATTTAATAACAAAATATTATAAAATGTTTCTAATTTTAAATAACAAAAAGATATAGTATATAATATTTTAGAACTGTTCAATGATTTCAGTTGTAACAAATTTTCTCTTAAAAAATGTAGATAATATTGTAATAATTATTCAGACTCATTTAGCATTTACATTTATTCACAAACTTTGAATAGTTCTATTATTATTATTATTATTTTTTTTTATATCTGAATTAAAAGTTGTCTAAAGCTTAATAATTCTTATCAAATGGACAGTATCAAGATTTAATTGTTTACTTAGGCTAACAAATATAGATATTCCTGTTGTTAATTATTTTATTATAATCTAATGAAGTACCTGTTATTAATTTAAAATCTTTATCCATTCATTAACAAGTCAAATAATTTTCACATTTTTGGCCAGCAGCGTGTCTCTTATTGTATTTCAAATAAATTGTCACACGATATTATCCTCTTAGCTTTGGTCAGTTTCACGATCGCTCGAGTTCTATTTATAAAGACCAGCTAAAGGCTGAACTTTATTGGAAAAGATCTCCTTTTTCCTTGATAGTTCAATATTTTAATATTTTTGAATGAGAAGGAAACGGGGGCACGTTGAGGGCAGAAGCTAAGAGTTTTACATGTTGTTGTATATTTCCTTTTTAATGGTTCTAACTCTTGAAACTTTATCAAACGTTTAACGTTAAGAAAAAGAGTTTTTATCAGATAGTATATAAGGAGACTGTGTTTCTTATGCTCCGAATGGCGTTGGACTTCGATGGTTGCAAAGAAACAATGTTGTTAAGCAGTTTTTTAATTTTTAAAATAATAATGTAAAACCGATCAAATGTTCACAAAACTTTCGAACTTATTTTTGTATGATTAAGGATATGATCTTTAGATCGTCATTCGTGTACTTAAAAAAATATAAAAAGAATGAAAAAAGCACCATCGTTGTCCACTGGAATCGCCGCAAAATGTACATAAATCATAATGGAAACACGTCATTATTACGGCATGTCATAGACAAAAATGAGACTGACTTTTTATAGGAACAATTTTAAAAATCGAAATTGTTTTATTATTATCTCAAAGCAAGCGCGCTAGATTTTCATTTTTTCTTCTGTATTTCTCGATTCTTATTTTTCTTTTCTTTCTATTTTAATTGCAACGGGAAGTAAAAACTAAATGCTTTCTATTGCAACTGCATTCATAATAAACATAACAAACTTCACATTATTTGATTGAGCAATGAATATGAATTTAAAAAAAGAAAAAATTACTATGATATTCGTACTAAATTTTTTCATATTGACGATTAAGTTCTTGTTTTGTAATTTCCATAACATGATTATCAATTTGATTTTGTTAACATTTATATGATCATTTACACACATATACGTTTTCTCTCTCTCTCTCTCTTTTTCTATCTATCTATCTATCTATCTATCTATCTATCTATCTATCTATCTATCTATCTATCTCTATCTCTATCTTTATCTATCTAATCTATCTATCTATCTATCTATCTACATATTTATCTCTCTATCTCGCGATAATTCATAGTTATATAAGAACTAATTATTTAAGATGAAATAAAATGTCTATAAAAAAGTGGAGAACTCCGTTGGTTGTGTGTATCTGTTGATAGAGGACGAGAAAAAAAGTATAGTCATCAGATTGTTCAGAAGTATGATTATTTATTATAGTCGTATCCAAGATACGATTTACTTTTTTCTCGTTTTTTTTCTACAGTTTTATATAAAGAATAAAGAAATTCAGTGACTATAAACAAAATAAATGAAGAGAAAATATTCACTGTTGCGTTTCACTGAGTACGGTGTTGCCCTTCAAAAGGCAGCTTGCGTTTAAAAAATAGCAAAGTGCCCGATGACGAGCCGCATCGTAATCAGCTCAGAATTATTTATATTTCAGAATATTTTTTATAACAATATTGCAAAAGAAGCATGCAAGATATTCTCCATTTGGTGTACATTGTCACTGTTTAACTTCCAAATTTAAATTTTTAGCACTTCATATGCTGAATATAATATAATTATTTTTATCACATTATACACAATTATATTGGAATTTTCATAATTAAAGAAAGATTCAAACGAAAACTAATTCAACCAATGATATAAACTTTAAGGAAGGTGCCTTCTGACTGAACATTTTGTGAAATTAAAACAGAAACTTTATAACTACTGAAACTTCTACACAGGATGTTGTAGTTTAGAGATTAACTCAGCCATAAGAGGAAACAGGAAGGGGCGGATAGCTGCATAAGATATCACCTTAGTAAATGTAATACTAAGTGCGACAAAAGATGTGGAAATTTTGGATATTTTTTTTCCATGAATTTCATGCTAGAAAATATAAATATTGTAATTTTCTATGATTTTATCTTCGATTTCTCGTTATCATATTGATAATATGAATCAAATTATATTTGGAAGTTTAACATACATGTATATTAAAACTATATAAATTACTTTAAAATATTATTGAAACTTTGATTTAAATCTGGATAACATTTATATTTAATGAAATGCACATTTAAATCAATATATACAAATCAACACTTGAATTTCTTTCAATAATATTATTATCACAACTAAACGAAAATTAATCTCCACTCTTCAATCTCACTTAAAATATTATAAAAACTATTAAGAAGTATGAGTTAATGATTTAAACCTATTTAAAATTGCCATATAAGCAGAAATTAAAAATAGATAATCCAACTATTCTGGACCTTCTTCTTTACAATTTTAATTAATTCTCAATTAAAAATTAGGTCAGTTGAAATTGAAGAGAAAAATTTTTAAGTAATTTTCTTTTTTATATAAATGTTTATATAATATATATATATATATATATATATATATATATAAATGTTTATATTATTAGATGGTTATAAAATGTTTATCAAAGTATTTTAAAAAACAAGCTTTAGATACATGAAACATTTAGGGACAATTCAGAGTTATTGGTTTTTCTCTTGACATGGTTACAGAAAAATTTTTCTAGTTCGTTAATCATAATCGTTCTCGTCCTTTAACTTGAATGAGTATTTTTTTTTTCCACTCATCTTTTTTCTACTCATCTTTTTTTCTTTCCATAAGATTTGTGGAAAATAGAAAACTCTCCCCATTTATTAATGTTGTTAACATTAAAGATATGCATACATTTGTTTCACGACTGGTTAAGAGTCAGCATGTTTCAGATTTTATAGTATATAGATGTTGTTTCTTCTTACGTTTTTCTTCTTTATGGGAAAAATTTGAAATAGTACAAAAGAATTTTAAGATCAAGAAGTAATTTAATTTAGTATTAACAGTAAGAAAAATCTCGTTAGGGAAAAACTTTTTTATTTAATTTAAATTAAAATGATTGATTATTTCAATCCAAAAAACTTCATTAATTATATGAACAAAGATTTTATGAACAAATATAGGAAGAGTCATAAAAACTATAGGAAGATGTTTTTT